CCGTGCCGAGGCCGCGTACCTCCTCCAGAGATGTAGCAAAGCGCATGGAGTTTGTCTTGTCCCCAACGGCCCACCCATGAGAGCTGGTAGTCTGTAGCATGTCCCACATGGCTGGGTTGGTGACTCCCTCCCCTCCTTAGTATCACTAGCATTAACTAATTAATCCCTTGGTTTTAAATGATTGGAATTAACCTGGTGCTGGGTATCTCCAACTCGTATCTAGTGCAGCTGATTAACAATAACTACTGTGTTCCTGGCAATATCGTGTTCTGATGACTTAGCAATGACCCATTTACGTGGGGGGAAAGAGACTCTATTTTATTTTCTAGTAGGTAGATAACTAGCTATATCCATGTACTGTAGTTCTACATCGATGTTCATTGTAACTTTACTGATCATGCATTGTTGAGGTGGTCTGAATGTTCCGACATAAGTTTTCCATGAAAACGTTTTTATTGTGTTTTTAATTTATTTATTAAGATGGATTCTCAGATATTTATATTTTTATTTTATTTTTTTCTACCTTGAGGTCTTTTTTGACATGTGGAAAGTGAATTTGGATGAAACTTAAGCATTGTTTGCTTATTATTGTTCAGAGACATTGTCAATAAAAGCATTTAAGTTGAGCGCTGGCACTGTCCTTGCCTTACCTTTTGCATCACTCCTGTGACCCTGAAGGGGCTCCCTGAACTCCAATTTGGGTTGGGCTCTGCGAACTGCAGCCTGGTGCAAGCTGCCTGAGGCACAGGGCACGCTGGGGCGGGAAAACCATTAAGTGCAAATCTGTCACTGCCTGTATTAATTAGGACTGGCTGTGGCTACGCCCTTCCCACCTACCTGTGGGGTCACCCATCCTCTGGCCACCCCCTTGTCCCCTCTGCCTGGGGCTGCCTGCCTTGGGACTGGCACTCTCCTGCTCCTCTGCCTGCCACGGCCTTTCTGCAAAAAGAGCCTTTTCTTGCAGGGGATAAAGGGCAGGGGAGTTCCAGCCTCTGAATCACTGAGGCTGGCTCCAGGCTGGGGTCCACCCTGTCATTAGTATGTGGCTAACAGCCCAGCTTCCTCCTGCATGGGCAGGGCTGGGAACACTCCCTGGCTCCAGGTGGCCCTGGACTTGGTCTGGCTCTTCTAGGAGCAGCTACTGTGTGTGTCTGGAGGGAGACAGGGGGAGGTACTTCCACTTTTCCTTCTAGCAGAGCAGTGTATGGCATAACACTGACATTTCCCCTGCCCTTCACTTTGCATTAGTTCGCTCAGTCCTTGAATGAATGAGAGTTATGGTAAACAGCCTGCATGCTCTGGTAATGCTCTCCCTGCTGGGATCCATGCAGTGTGGCTTTTTCCACCAGTTAGTTTAAGGGGGCTGCAGATCTGTCATTCCTGCTGCCTGCACAGCAAAACTTGCTCTTCTGTCAGGACAGCATGCCTCACAGGGCTGGGGCAGATCACCCTGGTGTGCAGAGTGCTCTTACTCTCCCTCTCCTGCTTGTGTGAGCCTGCTTGCTCTCAGGATTGCCTTTCTCAAGGTGATGGCAAAGGTGCCACCTGCACCAGCACCTGTGTCTGGCTGAAGACTGCCTTGACACCGTGCTCTCAGGAAATCTCTGCAGGTTGTAGGACCGTGGTGCTGGGATTTTGTGCAACTGCAGGTTTCCTGGTGGCTGCTGCAAGCTCTGCTTTCCTCACCCTTTCCCCATCCAGGCCACGCACAGGATGTCTCTCAGTGCGCATTGCTCTGCTCGGGGCTTGCTCAACACCTCCCGCCCCGTGCAAAAGCAAACACTGCTCACACAGCTTCCTCCTCTCGGCGCCGGCAGCTGGCAAGGGATGACCCCGGTGCTCCCGAGATGCCGCCCACTTAGAAGTGGCTCCTCTCGCATCACAGCTGCGGCTCACAGGGGCAGCAGCCCTGGCCCTGTGGGTGCAGTGACATGAGACTTATGTGACGGGCAACCTGGCGAGGGCCTGGCAGCACAGCGAGCCTCCTGCTGAAACCCCGCCGGGTCTGCGGCTGCGGGTGGAGAGGTTTTAGAGGTTTAGAGGGGTTTTAGATGGATTTTAGAGGGGTTTTAGGGTTTTAGAGGGGTTTAGGAGGGGCTGAGGCAGAGAGCAGCCCCTACACCAACACCAGGCCCTGAGGGGGGGGCGCTCCCTTCCCTTCCCCACCACCCCAGTCACCGGGCAGCTTAACGCAGGACTCGGGGCAGGGCTCTGGCAGCCCCCCTGCGCCATCCCATCCCGTCCCACCCGACCCAACCCCACCCAGGGCCCTGCTGCGCGCCGCGTCCCCGGTCCCGTTCCCGCTGAGGGGCCGCGGCCGCCATTTTGCCCCCCCCCTTCCCCCTCCCCTCAGGGCGGCCCGGCCCGGCCCGCCCCGCGCATGCGCGCCCGGCGCCGTGTTTACTGTTTGGTTGCCAGGGCGGCGCGCGGCGGGGCGCGTCAGGGCCGTGACGTCCCCGGCTCCCCGCGGAGCCGCCGCGAGCCAGCGCCGTGACGCAAGAGCTTCCGGCCCTGCCCATATATGGCAAAGCGGCGGTAGCGCCGGCTTTCCCCCCCTCACTTTGCCCCCCCCCCCCCGGCCGCGCGTGAGGCGCTGCGGCGGGAAGGTTCCAGAAGGGCGCGAGGGCGGGGCCCCGCCCCCATGGCGGCCGCCATTAGTCCCGTCAGGCCGCCATTACGCCTCCCCGAGGAGCTGGTGGCTCTGCGGGCTGCCCCAGCTCCACCTGCGCTGCTGGGTCGGAGCTGGGCTGGCCCCGCTTAGCACTGTCGTGATGAATTGTGGCACTTTGCATCCCCACACGGCCCTAGATGAAATAAAATTGTAGATATATACACACACGTATTTGCCCCGCTTGCCCGTGAAACCTGCCGCTGGTGTGCTGTCGTTGTCTCACCAAAAAACCTGACTCTTCCACTTTCACTCAAAACAGAGCAGGAAGGCTGCCAAAAACAGCCAGCGGAGCCACTGGGCTGCTGAGAATAAAGGGATTGTTCAGGGGAGATAAGGGTTTAGGGGAAAGAAATAAAGAAAAAAAAAAGTTCTGTGCTCGCTGTGGAGGAATTTGAGGAGGTTCCTGTGCTCTGAGGGATTTACCAGAGGGTGTGTTCAATGCCAAAGTATCCACACAAAGGTTATGAAACAAATTAAAAACACCAAACAGGCACAGCTGGGTGGTATTCCTGCAAGGTTTCTAAGAGAAGTTAAGATTTAAGAAGCTGGGCTGCCTACTGGTGGCTAAGTGCAGCATCTCATTTAGCGGTGCTTCGACACCTGGGGATGGGAAGGTGGTTAATGTGCCACACAAAGTGCCCAGAAAATTCTGGCAAGCTGCTGACCAACAAGCCAGCCATCTGTACCAGGCGAGGTAGTGAAAACTGTTTAAAAAGGCAAACTATTGAGCAAAAAGGAAAAAAAAAAAAAAAAAAGTACCAGGTGAGTTGGCAGCTTTTCTAAAGCATTCCTCACACATTGTTTGAAGTCCTGGCAGGAGTCAGCAAGCATAGGGAAAAGAGATTCCTCTGATGTCATTTGCTGGGGTTTTGAGAAAACATTCCATAATGTCTATCAGCCAAAGCTGCTGAAGAAACTAAGGTGCTATGTGATAAGAAAAGAAATTTTCATGTGAGTAGATGAGGCTGGTATAAAAGATGAGACGCTAAGAACCTAAAAATGTTTTCCTGGGTGGAAGGAGCCTTCATGTGAAGTTGCACAAGGATCTGAAGTGGAGCCTGGGGTCTGGAACAGGTGGTAAATAGTGAGGTGACTGAGAGGAAGTCACGTAAGACTTAACAGGAGCGAGTGATGCAATTCTGTGTAGGTAAATCCGAAGTGTTCCAACTAGGGGAAAGACAATCCTTCCTTTACATATTCAAAGCCAGCCTATAAGCTGATTTATCACTCAGAAACAACATCTTGGCGTCATATGAGTTCCCTGAAAATCTCAGCTCAAGGCTTGGTAAATAAACAAATCAAATGTAAAGAGTCAAGAAAGAACGAGAGAACAAAGCAGAGAGCAGCTTTCAAAGCACAGCGCTAATCCGCGGTGTGCCTGTGCTTTGAGTGCTGTGTACAGTTCTGATCTTATCTTCAGAAGGATGCGATGCTGCGAGAGGTGCAGGGAAGTAAAGAGGTGTTGGGAGGTGTGGAACAGCTCCCGGGTGAGGAGCAGTTAAATTAAGGAGGGCTCTTCAGCCTTGAAGAGACACCTGTCAAGATAAGAATGATGACATCAAATGAAAGTTAGGGAAAATGTGAGTTGAAAACAAACTTACGGGGGTTGCTTGTTCCATATCGTGGTTACTTGTGGAAAACCTGGCCGTGTGAATTTGTGGATAACAGAAGTTTGTTTAAGCTCGAGAGGAGTCCAGAAAACAAACAGAAGAGCAAGCCAATGAGTGCTGTTAAATAAAAAATACCCCCTGTGGCTGAGGAAGTTCTGATTTTTCTAAATTTCGGGGGCGTTGGGCAATATTCTGAGGATGCAGCATTACGCCCTTACATTGTGCTTACAGCCTTCTTTAGGGGGTTGCTGTCAGCCAGCGTCAGAAGACTGGATGATAGCAGAGAGGGGGAGAAGCAGAGGAAGGGAAACTTGGTCTGATTGGCTATGACTACTCCTCTATTGTTTTGTAAATACTTAGCTAAACTTTCGCTCTTACTCTGTGCTTCCTTATTGAGGCAGGACTTGAAATTTGTTTAAATGATTACAAAATGTGATCTCATGTGTCTGTGCTTCTCATCCGTTCAGATCTTTTGCTGATAAGGTTGTTCTTGTGGCTTCCGGCGAGCTTTCCAGTCATAGCGGGTACACCGGTGACCCGGTGAGACGCTGAAGTGAAACCAGCAAACACTCATTCTTCTGATATGGCAACAGCGGATATCCACAAGGGACCTGGATGTTATATCAACAGGATACCATGGGAAAACAAAAGAAGGTCAAAACTAACATGTGGACAAAATATCTTCTTTATTGTTTCCAATTATGGAGCTCTTGTTCCGCTTTTTTTTTTTTTTTTTTTTTTTTTGTCTTCAGACCAACAGATTTTTAGCTCCTCTTCACTGATTATATTGGAGCTTTGTTTTTACACAAATATTTTGTAGCTTGATCCTGCTGGCTAAAGCCAACCAGGTGCAACTTTAAAGCAGCCGTTTGAATTCCGATTGCACCACAGCCTCCATCTGGTAAGAATTCAGCTCCTTTTAAATAGCCCATCTTGAATTTTCTTGTGCTAGGGAATAAGGGAAACGAAACAGGCTCATCATAAGGTATTTCTCTGTTGTTTGCAAAACTAAGTGTTTGTTTTGAGTAAGTAACAGTGTTACAAGGTCCATAGCAGTGTCAGACCTAAAGCATATGGCCTAAATTGTGTAGGTTCAGATATTACCATTGAGGGTTTAAGTAAAACATCATTTTGACACTGCTCTGATGTATAGTGGGTGTTTCAGCATCAGAGCGATGTGGTTCCTGCTATGAAGCATTTGAACTGTAACAGTAGGAGAAATGGCAGATGCCAGTAGCACACAGCAGAGAGGACAAGCACTGTTACAGCATTTCAGCATGTGCTGTGGCAATTCAATTAAAACAGTAGCATAACCTAATCGTGATGTGTCACTAACCTCGAGGACACAAAGGAAGATAAACTGAAGTCATCTGCTGTCATTACATAAGAGCTGAGCGCAAAGCCAAGAATGGGGTTTCGGCACAGATAAGGATTTTGCTCTGAGACTTTCAAAGAATTCAGCTCTTCACAGCTTTAACTCTTCATAGGAGTTGCAGATCCACCCCCCCAGGTTTGTCAGCAAGTTCCAGGTGGCCAGGTGCCACAAGCCTGGGCTCCTGAGCTATGCCTAGGGGTAGGTAGCAGGGAGCATGGGACTGCTGATTTTCCATCCTGCTCTGTTGCACAGTAATAATCCTAGTCCCTGAAATACTTTTGGGCTGTGCCAATGAAACTGGGCTCCCGCCGCTCTCCCTGGTCATGCAGCAATACCCTGTCAGGTTTCATACTGCGTTTCCTACTTTGTTGCACTTTGGCATATGACAAGTCCTTTACTTACCTCATGGCTGCGTAAGGTGTTTAATGCTCCAAAAATAACCCCGGTGTCTAAAAGAGCTTGGCAAACTACCTCCAAATCGTCCTACATATTGGGTAGGACTTAAGGGAAATATGAAATAATTTATTTCCCTAAAAGGTAGGTAGGTAGCTGTACTTGGAGATGAATATGGTGAAATACCACACAAGACAACATGATACTCTACCTGACTGCTTATCTTCCAGATCTTTGTTTCAGCCTGCAAGCTGAGCTGAGGGGCCTGGCACGCTGATGGAGTGGTTTCCACAGCTGTTAGAACTTTAGGATGATACTCAAACAGGCTACCTCCCCCAGAAGGCATGTTCCTCATTAGGAACATTCATTTGAGAAAAGTTTTATTTATAGGCTGTATACCCCTACTTGCCTAAGGACCTTCTGAGGGCAAATGCTTCGCTGGGCATGGCTTCTGGCTCCTAATCCCAGCACATTTAGTCAAGACCTGAATTTGTAACTTTTTTCCTCATGAAACACCGTTTGTTGTAGCTTTAGTCCTTGTGTGAAGGCACGACAGGAGCGTGGGACTTCTGCTCCTTACACCTGGACAGGCTTAATGCGGCTTCCTGATAAACCTGTCATTATAATGTACAAATAAAACTTCTTTGCTAAGAAGGTTTTAGCACTTCAGAATAGAAATGCTTTAATTTTTCCTCATAATTTTTCTAACCTATAATACGAGAAATGCTTCACAACTATTCTCATGGCAAAAATACACGTAGATTATTTGCTGATTCCTTCTGGAGGGTAGGAATGAATAAGACAGTTCTGGAACTGGCAGTGTGTGTACGTTTGTGATCAAAGTGCCAACCAGTTCCATTTGCTGGACATGTGGAAATGCATACAAGGCCACGTAGTCAAAACCCAGCGAAATCTTCCTCTTCCAAACCACTTTAACTTTAGGACCAGAGTCTGCATTACTTTTCCTCTCCATGCCGTATTCTCACTTGCTATTGTAAGATCAGACAGTGGCTGAAAGGCCTGAACTGTTGCATGCATGTGAGAATGATTACCATAGCTAATTTAAGGCACGTGGAGCTGCACGGGGAATGACCTCACAGCTTCCAATCTTGTCATAAATACGACTTAATTACTGGATATTGAATGACAGATTGTGCCCTGCAGGTGATCAGACACAGAATGTGGTAAAGACCAGCTCTGACTCTTAACCAAAGGTTTGTATTTCCTTTTAAGATACATCATGCACTGGAATAATCATCTGTGTTTACGAGGACAAAGTATTTATTATTATATAATGATTTCCACCCGAGGATCTCTTAGCTCCTCACGGGCGCTAATGATTAAAGCATTCTGTTCTATTCTGCATCTTACCGTGAGCTTTTTCAGAGCAGCATCCGAGTACTTTCCCATTAACCTCAAATGTGACTAATACGCAAATGTGTGGTTTGGTCCCCTCTCCTCTCCCCGGTGGATTTTGGGTTGCAGTGTGATCACAGCACAGGTGGAAGAAGCGTTCCTTGTGATCTGCAGGGGCAGGCCCTGAATGTCCCTGGGGAGTTCATTCTGCCAATTTGGACAGGTCCCCCAAAAATGGGGTCTACTGCACAGGCAAGCACCACGTTATCGCAGAGTGCTCTCGCACCACAGGTAGCTGCTGGTTGCAGTCTATCTCGGTGTCCCAGGTGACTTGTTTTTCATGGCTGGTGCCAGGCCACCAAGTGCCTTGAAGGTAAGAACCAAGTTTAACTGACTCAGCTGCCCTCCAGCACCACATGAAGTAGGTGACGGCTGTGATTCATGTTAACAGCCAGGTAAACTGAGGCACTGAAACTGCAGTTTCAGGATAGTTTAAATGAATCTGGTCCTGCTGTGTCCGCTACTCTGATCCGTGTGGTTCTGTGCCCTTCCTGACTTCTGCACAGTCACTTGCTTGACCCCTCAGTGAAATGGTTCGGAAGTTACACTGGCACCAAAAAATGTTTTTATGTGGAAGGGTTAAATTCCAGCTGAACTCGGTCCCTAACCAAAGGTACTGCAGAATCAGTCAAATGCTAGTAGCGGAGCAATGGAAGAGAGAGATCCTGCAGCTGACAGTGCTATCAGCGTGTGTAGAGCAGCATACCGAGGACAGAAGTGATTTCCCTAAATTCAGTTTGGGAATACTGGCTCCTGAGAGCATCTGCCAAAAGCGTGATGTTTTACCATGAAGGTGCTCCAGCACTGCAGTAGGTTGCCCACAGAGGTTGTGGAGCCTCCAGCCAAGCTCGACGAAGCCCTTTGAGCAGGAACTGAGGCACTATTCCAGAGGCACGAAACATCTCTGAGTGCCTCCGCAATCTGCGTGACGTACTCAGCCAGATCTAACTGTAGCAGTTTAAAATGCCATCTTTGTGCTCTGCAGAGGGTTTATAGCTCTCTTTGGTGACAGAAAGGAGTGTCTGTGCTGCACCTTCCCCAGTCCCTAACCCTGGTAGCAACTGTGGGGAAGGGCTTGTGCAGAGTTCCCAGATGCCAAGTGGCAGAGGCTGAAGTTCCCATACCTCCTGCAACACGTGTGTTAATCCTGGCCAGGAGAACAGGGTGGAGAGGCTGCCATGGGAATGCCTGAAACCACCCAGCTGGTTGCATCAACACCTAAGTCAGACCCTGAGGCAGTGCTTTTAGGCTCTAAACCCACGTCTTTGGGGTCCTGAGAAACACCATTCATCTGCTGGGGGCTCTTACTCCCATGTCTGAATTTCCCGACTTGTCAGATGCGTACAAAGAGCCGTATCTTTAGGAAATGGGCTCTAGTTTTTACTGGAACTGACCAAAGTGAGGAAACATCTTTGAGGCTTTAGTTGAGCTTCATGCTGGATGTGCAGCAGGACCCTAACCCCTAGCAGAGCTGTCCCGTACAGCGGCACAAGGCTGCCCATGTCCCCTCCAGCTCCCGTACCAGCGAAGTCTTGGTGCTCCTGGAGGTTTCATCACTTCTCCCGTAACGCTCTGCGTATTTCTGAAAGCGCCTGGGGCCGGGCGGTTGGGCAAGGACCCGCATTTCGGTTTTGCTCAGCGTGTGCCGAGATCTCCGGTTGAGCAACACGAACCCCGCAGCCCCAGGAGCTGGATGGAGGCAAGGGGCGCAGCGCTGTGCACCCAGCCCAAATCGGCTGGGTCCCTGCGGCTCCGGCTGCCCTCTGTCGGCCGGCGACATGTCGCCGTGCCTTCTGTCGGCTGGTGACATGTCGCAGTGCCCTCTGTCGGCCGGCAGCCTCCCTGCCCTGCTGCTGCCTTCCACTGCTCCCTGCTGGTGCCTGGCAGGCCGGGCAGCGGTGCGGCGGGGCGATGCGACCCCCGTGAATTCAGCCCGGGGGGGTCCCTCCAGCTTGTAGCCCTGCTGTATGGCATTGCAGGCACTGCCCCCATTGCGTATGGGGCATGAATTTGCTGGGTTTGTGCTCAGCCACTCTGTTCAGGGCGTTAATAAAGGCGTCACAGAGTACCGGCCCCACTAGTGACCCCTGAGAGATGCCACTTTGTCGGTCGTCACTTCAACTTTACTGCTGATCAGCTTGGAGCTTGGTGCTCCAGCCAGTTTCCCTCCCACCTTATTTATTACCCACGCACCCGGTCAATAGGGGCACGCTTCCTAGGGGCAGGGCCAGGTAGGCAGGGAGACTTCTTGTAGGAAGGACAGGTTGTTGATACATGGCCAGGCTTGCCCCGCACCTCTCTGCCTTGCCGTGCATCTGCTGTGCAGTCTGAGAATCGAAATAATTTCTGATGAAATCTCCTGTCCTTAATCCTCTCAAATATGTGTGTGTGCTGATCTTGGGTGCAGTTTCCCTAATGAAGCCTTGGATGGAGTGATCCGTTCCTGTAAATACCATGCAGATTTGGGGGCCCGGCAACCTCCTATCAGATTTTGCCCTAGGAAATGGTAAAAAGAGAGAGAGATTGTGGGGTTGGGATCTGGCAGAGGCTGTGGGTTAGGATCTGGCACTTGGGAGCAGTGCTGAAGCGCAGCACACGAGGAGCCTGGACTCCCACAGGGCTATGCTAGGGGAAGAATTTGGCCTCTGTTTATTTTTCTAAGTCTGTTTTTTTGACTCTCTGAACCGTGTTCTGCGGGAAGGACTTGGGGAGATCCTGGGCTGAGCCTGTTTTGGGCCAGGGAGCCTCACGCAAACTGGCTGACAGAAGCCAGACCCTGGAAGGAATGTCTTGCTGTAATTAGCACGCTGGCAGCAGGGGTTCAGGTGGCACTGAGTATTGAAGGGCTCTTTGGATGCACGGGAGGATGCAGAGCTTCTTGGATTCAAGTGCTGTGTGGTGCTTGGGGTGACTTCCAAAGTAAGTAAACAGGCAGGGAAATACAGCCCTGCAGCAAGGAACCTCAACACTTTCTGCACTCAGTTACTTATGTCCTCCTGCAAAATGGAAGGCAAGAGAAAACCTAAGCCCACAAATGGCTCGTGACATCTATCTCTAATCTTTTGAAGCCAGAACAGAAATCCTTGTGTGGCGAGGAGGGGAGTTAGGAGTAAGACATGGGTAAGAGAGTGGGTAGGGTGGAGAGCGGGCTGGGGACAGATGCTGAGTGGCTTGGAAATGGCTGTGGGGAGCTGAGGAGGTGAGACCTCCAGAAGCAGCAGACTTACAGTCATGCCAGGTGTAGTTTTAGACCAGTAACTTCCTAAACGTGCAAAGGTCTGACCAAACCCAACTGACCACAGTGCAATACGTGCTGGTGTTTTGCCAGGTCTGTAACTGCTCAGGCGTTTTCGGAAACAGGCACGGTTCTGGTTACTTGGGTTAATTTGCTGTCACCAAAGATGCATCTATAGGCTTAAGCTAACCCGATCTCTTGACTCCCTTTGTACCTGACAGCCTGGTGTGTCCCGCTACTCACCGTGCCACACCAGAGAACCAAGCCCGTGCACTTTGAGGTGCATTCGTTTTGTTGCACTCACTTGGATTAATGGGCCATTCATGTGCATTAGTATTTGGCTAATGCTTCACGAGGAAAAAGTTTTCCCTTTGCTTCTTTCTACATGGCAATCCTGCTGCTGACAGGCGAGGCATTAAAATAAAGGCTGCATAGCTCTTATTGATTCTACCCGAGACCTTTTTATTTTTTTCTTTTTTTTTTTTTTTCCCCCTTGGAAGCCTTGCACGCAAAGTCTTGCACCGTGCCTTTCAGCTCAGGCTCTGGATCAAGTCTTGCAAAGATTGGGCGCAGCTGCAAGACTCCTGGAGGGAGTTTTATCCTCGCATCAGATAGAGCTGGGGCAAAAGGAAAAAAAAAAAAAAAAAGGGTAAATCACAGAGCCAGCAACTTTCTTGGCGTCTCTGGGATTGTGGCTCCTCCTGCCCCTCCGGCCTTCAGAAATGTACTCGGCAGAGCTGCCCGCATAGAAAAACAAATGCATCCCAAACCAAAACAAACAGAGCTGGGTGTTGGTAGTGAATGGGCCAACACCGTGTGCTGGCGTCATCTCTGCCCACTGCCAGCGCGTTGTCATAGGAACAGCTGGATTATTTTACAATCCAGCTGTGGAGCCAATTCTCCAAAGGAGTAGCCCGGAGGGAGGAGAGAGGGGCGGGCAGAAGGGAGCCTTGCTGCATTTTCTGGTAACTGAAGGGAGGAGGAGTGTTAGTGGCGAGAGTGAGGGAGCGATTACCGTGCGTGCCATGCACCATAGCCTGAAACCACAACCAGGCACTTCCAGATAACCGACTCTCGACTTGTAGCTGGATCTGGGAGTTAAGAGCTTCCCTGTGGAAGAAAGGGTGAGGAAAAAGGGAAGTCTTTTTTTGTGGTGAGGCCAATAAGGTGTTTCCCAGCACGTTGTCCTGCAGTGAGCATGGCTTGCCCACTGCGTGGGGTGCTGTGTGCCTCTCCTGCACCCTGCCAACCCCACAAAGTTGGAGCTGATGGAGCGACGGCTGCTAGCTCACCGGGAAAAAAGATTCACAACCGTTTCCCGTGCCCTCTAGGAATATTTGTGGCTGTGTTTCCTCTCTGTAAGCTCCTTGGATCGTGTTTTGAGCCTGCAGGTACCTGGGCAGAGGCTCAGGCTTTGTGCTCAGGAGGGCTGTTGTACCAAAATGAACACACTCATCTGAAGGTCAGAGCTTTGCCCTTTAAGGCCTTGTGCTTTAGCAGGTCCCACAGGTATCTGCTACCCCTGCTATCCCTGCTATCCCTGGCAGTGCCCTCACCAGAGCTGGGAGGACACGTCCCGTTTCATTGCTTAGAAGTGATGAGGGCGTGAGAGGGGACAACAGGATGCCAGGGAGCACCGTGATTTTACCCCAGTTCTGAAGGATGCCGAGCCATTTTCTGTTCTTGGCCTTTCTCCTTTTGTGTGTCACGTGCACTCCTGTACAGATTGGTGCTCTGCGTGCAGGCTCGGGGCAGATCTGGAAGGGAGATCTGTGCCGTGCCTTGCTGGTTCTTAACATTTTAATGCTGCAAAGACCCGTTTCAGGCGCTGCAGTACCTTCCTCCATCCCTGCTGCTTTCTCCATTCTTCTGGCTCCTCCCAGTGGTCTCTGCTGACCCTGCTAGTGAAGGCTTTCCACCCCTTCCAGAGGGACAGTCGGGAGCCCTTGTTCACATCCAGCCCAGCTTTTAGCACGTGGGCTCCTTTACCAGGGCACCTCCAGACTTGGGAGAGAAGCTCTGGTGGGCGCTGGCAGCCTTAAGTGATTTGCAGGATTTTGATTTGCTTGCAAATATACGTGTGTGACAAATTGACTCCTGGGCTTTTTTTTTTTTTTAGTAGCACAGTTCTGGAGCTGGCCCCTGTCCTGGAGGAGTTACCTACAGGTGAAAGTAGCACTGGAGAAAAGGCCAGAGTTTGGCCCGTAAAATATGCCAAGGAATTTCTTTGCCTGGCATCTAAACTTCCACTTCAGTTATTTCCACATTTGCAAGGAGATGCAGAGATTCCTCTTTTCTCATTGTATTTTTGGTCTCTGCCACTTCTGGGGACATGATTGAAGAGGCAAGCTGCAGGCAGTGACTAATGAAGTGGCTCAGATGTCTTTCCATGATGAGGCAGCCACCGGTGTGGAAAATGCTGCTCTTTTTCTGGGGGGATTTTTGTCTCTCGCTGCCTGTTATAGGGAACCCACTTTCTTGTTCTTTATTTTAGCCTTCAGCAGAGGAGGAAGAGGAGGAAAGGGGTTTTCAGGCCAGTCAGCAGGAGTTTTTTCTAGAGCTTCAGCAGATTCTCACCACAGTGGCACTCAGGTTGGGCTGTGTTTCCAATTTCCCCCAGTCTCAGCTGTTACAAATTTACCCAGAGTGGTCGCCCCATGCAGCCCACTACCCCTACCACTGTCGTGAGTCGCCTGTAGCCGAGGGACTTGGAGCTGGGGCACCAGGCAGTGTGGTGAAGCAGCAGCAGCCCCCAGGCTGATGATGTGTGGGACGTGCAGGCAGGTGCGTTGGTAGAGCATGGAGTGGCTCTTGTGGTGTGTGCAATGAGAGCAGCAATTGTTGGGTCCCCGGGTTTTGCGTGTGTGCAGTGTAGGTGCTCTCCTTGCTTGTGATACAGCTGCCTTTGGCTTTTATTCACCAAAAGCTCGGTCTGTCCATCAATAGAAATTAATGAAAACTAGACAGGGAAGCTGGGGCAGAACGTGGGAAGGAAGCAGAGAGAAGAGAAAATGAAATCTTGTAATCGTAAGGGACAGGGGAGGTGTGATGTTGGCTTTTATGGGCAGTACACTCACTTTGTGGGTCTGGTGAAGGGCAGGTCGCTGGGAACACTGCTGTTCGGTGGAATTACATGGGCAAAGCCTGACCCACTCTGGCACTGAGGTGCTGTGTGGCAGCTCTGCTGCAGGGGCTCCCCAGCAGAGGTAGGTCTGTGGCAAGGGGAACTCTGGCCCCAGGAAAGTGACCCAAGGCTCAGCACTTGTTTTTTCCTTGTTACTTGTTTTTTCCCAGCTTTGGGACTACAGTGGTGATGCTGCTGCAGGAGCACACACGGCAGAGGTACAAGCTGCCACCTGGCCCCTCCTGGCTTTCAGATTTTTAACCGGTACTGTGCAAGGCACCTGGCTTTAGGCCTGCTGTAACTGGTGCTGCATCCCCAGAAAATACACAGCCCAGCCTCCTCCAAACATTTGCGTGTGGACAAACACGTGAGAGGTTTAAGAGCAGGAAAAGCTAATTTTATTTTATTTATTTTTTGCTTCCTGGTTGGCCCCAGCTTTCAGAAAGGTGTTAGCTACGAATCCTGACAATTAGCAGACAGTTGGAAAATGTTTTAGAGGGCCTGTGGCTATTTTGGCTGCAGGGTAAGTGGGGTTGAAAGCAGAAATCCAACTCGGTGCTGTGCTGGTTGTTACTGTCCCTTTTATTATCCGTGTTCCCTTTGATGTGGAAACGTTGGCCACCCTTGCCCCCTGGAATGGTGCTCAGGTGTAATTATGTGGGACATCTGTCTGCTCTGAGCCCGTGCTACTCACCCCCTTCTCATCAGGGCCAAATTTTGTGTGTTCCATAAAGCCAGTGCTAAGCTGCACTTTCAGGCAAAGCTGCCCCTGCGAAAAGGAGCTTCAGGCACTGCAGCGCACATGGAAATTGTTTGTGCAGACTTTCTCCAAACTCCTGTGTTTGCGAATGTCCCATGAGGAGTCCAAACACTTTTGCTAGAAAAGGGTTGTTAACAGCCAGCCCGTCACAGATCCTGAAAGTGTTTGTTATCTTGAGCTGGAACTGCAGATAGGAATGGAGTTGCTGGGTCCTGGCATTTGGTGCTCCTCCAGTCAAGTACATCGTTGTCCTTTGAGGAGTGAGCATTAAATAAATAGCTCATTAACAGATCAGAGTTGATTCGTCGTGAAAAAAAAAAGAGCTGCTTGGCTTGCAAACTTTTCAGTCTCCTAAGCTAGGCGTCAGTTGTAATAATTCTATTTTTTTTTTGAAAGGAAACATGATCAGGTCAGCATTATCCCTCCAGTTTAGGCTTTATGTAACAGCAAACCTATTGGAATCACTCGATGATCAAAAATAAAGATCAAGTGAAGACTTTCTCGAGGAAAAAAAGCAAATGTGCCTTTGCCCATTGTGCTTACAGCCTTGGTACTACAGCCACGGAATGTGGCAGAGGAGATGGGCTTAAAAGCATGGGCAAATGTGAAACTAATTAGCCTGGTGTCATTGTCCAAGCTGAATGAAGTGCTGAAAGAAAACAAACATTCGCAATGAAACCCAGCATGGATCTAAACAAATTCTTTCAGCTTTAGTAATAAGCTGTAGTGCTTCCTTAGTAAATGAATGACTGGGGAATTTTTTTGTTTGAGCTGTGACTGTACTCTGACACCAGCAGCACTGAAGCTGCACAGCTATGGCACGGACCTGCTCTTCGAAGGGCTTTTGCCACGGCGGCTGGGCCAGGCTCTCTCACTTCTGTCAAAGTGTTTCTTCATGCAGGCAGCCGCGGCAGCTCTGTGTCAGCGAAGCGTGCAGCTGCATGCACGGCTTTTCCTGTTGCTTTGGACTCCTGCCTTTTAGAGATCAGCCCATAAACGATTATGTATTTTTTTTTAAATTTGCTTTGCAGCTCGTGTGATCCTCGAGCACCTTCATTTCCAGAAGCAGCCGGTCAGTGGCTTTCTCCTTAGATAAAGAATTTTTCATACCCTGCCCTGTGAGCAGCTCGTTTGCTGCGAGGATGACTGTAGCTGCAGTTACGTTGGCTGCGAAATTCCCAAGATTCCCATCAGCAGCCTCGTTTAAACATCCCCCAGCCCTGCTATAAACAAGCGAGAGACGCTCTCCCTGCACCCTGGCCGAGAGCCAAGGGCATCGGGCGCTCCAGCTGGAGACAGGAGGGGAGTGCAGAGAAGAGTGTCAAGTCATGAATCACCGCAGCGAGGACCGACAGCCACCGTCAACAAAACCAGGCGAACCCGGGGCTGGCTGCTTAATTAAGTGGTTTATTTCTCATCAAAGTGACAAGGTGCAGGCGAGCCGGAGAGGCAGCAAAGTGCTGCTGGTGAGCAGCTGCCTTTGCTCCGTGCACGTGGGGTGCCTCCTCACCGTGTTCTTCGGCAGCCAGATACCAGCAGGGCTGGGGATGGAGTTTACGGGCCCCTGGGCTGCTCCTGGCTGGTTTCCTAAGGTGACAGAGCCTACGTAGTTGTGCTGTTTACCTTGGGGCCCTCCTGGCAACTTCTGAGCGTATAGGACAGCTTCAAGCAGATTGGAGAAAAGATTAGGAATTTCCAAGATTGTTACGGATCTACCCATTTTGTGATGCTCTGCGGGTGGAAGGAGAATGGGCCCAGGTCAGTGCCTTGCCAGAGGCAGGGAGGGTGCAGCCGATACGGGGCTCATCTGGTGGCTGTGCCCTGTGTGTGCAGGGTGCACATGGTGCGACAGCCTGCACACGCATACACCAGGACTGGCCAGAGCAGGGAGGGAAAGGAAAAATGGGGAAGGGAAAACTGGGATTAATGCAGTGCAGGAGAGGCATGCAGGGGCACAGCAGACAAATGCAGAACAGGCTCACTGGCTATTTTTATCTGTTCCAGGATCCTTAGCCGTGCCAGGTTGCTAAATTCTGTAAAGAAATCTGTATGGCCTGTGCTCACCAGCAGAGGCTTAGAAACACCTCAGTAGCTCCCTGTTCGAGGTGTGAGACTCGCGTGGCTGGCTGCATCCTGAGTGACTTTGTTAAAGGGCTGGAAGCTTGAAAACAGTGCCTCCATCCTGAGGAGCTTTGGGGGATTTAGGCACAGCCCAGCAGCTCTTGGCAGGTTTCTAGGGTGGCATCGCTTCTTTGCTCGGAAACTTCTCAGTGCCTGGCCTAAATATGCTGTCACCCCTCACGTGTATGGGATAACAAAGGCTGGGGGGATGCTCCATGGCAAGTGAAGCTGCAGTGAAGTTTTCCCTGGGTTCTGCCTATGCAGAAAGTTCACAGCACCACAGTATAATTTCTTGGCACAAATGGCCTCGGACCCAAGCAGAAGCCGTGTTTTTTGCCTTATGGTACATCTTACCACATTACTTTGGAAGGGCTGCAGCTCTGTTTTGCAAGGTGATCTCCCGCAGCACAGCCGCTGCCAGGAGATGCTCATGATTAACTGCACGCCCTGGGGCCTCCTCCTTCATCCCTGCCTCTCTGCAGTGCTTCCCACCTGGGCTGATCTGATGGGTTGTCTGTGTCCCGTGACTCTGGGGTCACCTTGAGCAGAAATCCTGTGCTTTTTTCCTGAACAGGGAGTGCACGGCCTGGTGTGTGTGACTGGCTCCCTCCTGGTTGCTGTGCCCCCTGCTCCTGCGAGGTTATGCGAGGAAAGATGAAACTTTCTTGCCAGAGGCAGGGGAGCGAATGCAGTCTCCAGCAAACCTGGAACAAGGAGCAGCTTGGAGAAGGTGTGCTTCCAGGCCATGTGCCAGCGCTGAACCAGCACCAAGAAACTGCGGCAGGTTTACAGAAATGCCACAGGCGAAACGAGAGCTCTGGTAATTCACAGGCTCCCCGGGTCTGACAGGCAACCATCCAGCCTCACCTCTTGTATAAGACTGGCCCCTTCATTTCGTGTAGTTACCCCTGTCCCACACCCAATAATATGTGCTTGCCAGCGGTGCTTTTGGGAAGTCAAACAGCCCTGGTGCAGAACCGACTGGCGACAGGGAATCTACCACTTCCACTGGCTGTGCAGCCACGCTCCACAAAACAGCATTTTATTTCTAATCAGGAATTGCCCGGTTATGGCATCCGGCTGTGGTCACCATTCTTCCTTTCTTCAGGAGATGAAAGGCTTTCTGAGTGCCTCGTGTTTGCTCCGTGGGACTGCAGGGGCATAAAGGCACTTTCTTCTGCCTGAGAGGCCAAGCAGGTTGAACTTCCTACGGGGCAGATGGAGCAGCTGGCAGTCTTTGGGGTCTCTCTCCCCACTCCTTTCCCCAGTGCTCAGCAACCCTTTTAGTCAAGTATCTGCCACGTATCTTGCCCCTACCCACCATGTCCTCCTTGAGTGCCCACTGTAAGGCTGGATTTTAACCCACATTCCTGAAGGGAAGTGCTCGGAGCCACTCTATGTGATGCAAGGTGCACGTTGAGGGCCAAAAGGGATTAATCACGACAGGGAAATGGGCTCTGTCACCTACACAGAGTGGGAGAGAAAGAAAACACTCTCTAGTGGGGAGAAAGGGAAGAGAGGCCCTTGCAGTGGCCCTGCCAGTACCAAAATAAATCTCAAAGAGGGGAAACAACAGCAGCGGAGAGCTACCAGCACAAAGGCACAGCAGAGGAGCAGATCTCTGCCTGACTAAAGGCTGCCAGCTCTGGACCTTGGTGGTTAGTTTGCTTTGGTGAGCCCAGTAACCACCGGTATGTGCGCGTCCTTCTCACCAGTGGGCCGCTCGCTACACGGGCCAAGCGGCGACACTGAGGGCAGCAGCCTAAAAGGAATGAAGTTGGATCAAATGCTGGATTTGAACCAAGCCCGTTCTGTTTTGGAGCAACTAAACCCTCCGGTGGGCTGGAAAAAGCTCTGGGGAACCTCGACCAAGGTTGCTAGAGAGCAGAGTCGCTGAGAGTTTCCATCCAAAAAGGATCCAGGCAACATCTCCTTACAGTAAACAGCAGAAAGCCTTGCAGCTCCGTGATCTTTAAGCACAAGGGGGAGTGGATGAGGCTGATGGGAGCAGGCTGAGAGCCCTGGGAGGTTTTATCCTGACAGAGCACATCTGTGGCGGAGAGCTGCCAGCCTGCTGCGAGAAGCCACGGGGGGACATCTCCGCTCGGAGCACATGCCGCCTGCCTCTCCGGGGGCTCCTCACACCTTCCTGGACAGGACCGCAGGCAGGGGGGCAGCTCAAACCATCGGCGGCATTAACAGCGAATCTGACATCTGGGCTGGCCAGTGGAGCAGCCCAGGCATTTGGTTTGTTTATTTTCCTTAGGCCTTTGGCGCTTTTGCTCTTCACAGAAGAAGGCCCGAGCGCGTTGCTAACACACCGCTCGGGGTAAGCACTAAACGAAACTCCCACTGTTTGCAGGAACCGAGCTCAGGCATTTCTTAAACAACTGCTTCATTGTGATTCTTGGACAAATTGAAACGAAAATTTCTTCCCCGCAGCACTGTTTTTTGTCTGTTTTGCTGATAGGCCATGCTGTAGCTGCAAATCTCCAACGTATTGAAGTACGCTGCTTCTGCTCTCACTCGGCCTAACGTGACACTCCAGAGTAATTTCATTACCATCAGCAGAGATACTTCCTCTGTCCACTGGCACGGAGCTGGTTTGGACGTGAGCCCCACCATACAGAGAGCAGAGCTTCACCTCTCCCCCGCTGCAGCTCGCAGCAGAGGTGAACTTGCAGGAATGCAGAACACGAGCGCAAGACTTCTGGGGCCTGGAGAGCAGCTGGCCTTCCTCTGGCATGCGAGTGGCTTCTTCAAGACCAAGTTCTCATCTTGGTGCTGCTGATTTCCCCAGTGCATCATCTACAGCACCATGGAAATACACCTTTGCTTGGAGAAGCTCTTCAGAGGCATTGCTCTTCTTTTTTCCTCTCTTCTATTCCAGATCCTCTCGTTGGCATCCCAATACCTAGCACCATGAGCCACGTGCTCTTTCAGCCTTAAAAACAAGGTGACTTGGAGCGTTAGGCTCTTTGGAGGAGCCAGGGCCTATTTTTAGCTGAGCAGTTGAGGAGGTGTAGGTACAGTGTCTGGGGATGGTGTCTGAGCAGCCCGTGGCTGCCGCGATGCTGAGCAGAGCTCGGAGTCTGGCAGGGGGAGGTTCGCTGGTCCCTCGGGGGTGTTGCAGGGAGGGGGCTGGAGTGGGTGTAGCTGGTGATATGCACAGGCAGCCAAAACCTGGTGTTGTAATGTCTGAGACGGTCTGAGTTTGGAAAAGGCCCCGATGATATCACCCTGCAGAACTGTTAGCGGCAGAGTGCAGGAAAGGAAACGTTCACAAGTCCTTTCCAAATCTGTAAGGAGAGGAATTAACGCTCCTTCTTCCCATACATACCACACTGCTTGGAAATGGCCTTCATTCATGACCAGGCATCAAAAGAGACGTCTCTTTCTCTTTTCTCCTTGCTGCTGCCATCTCTCTGCCACATGTGGCAGGGAGTGCTGAGGATGGAGGGTGTGAGAGCAACGCCTCTTCTGTACTGTCTCCCTGCACGCTGAACTCTGCATAGCGTCCTGCACTTCTGCTTAATCCACTCATAGAAGAGGTAAATGAGCAGTGGAGCTTTCCTTGCTGCCACAGAGGTGAAGTTCTGCAGGAACATCACCGAGAGGTGAATTCTGCAGGAGCCCTCCCGTGCTACCTCTCTGCAGTTCGCTGTGTCCCCTGTGGTCCTGCAGAGCCCCTGGCTGCTGTCTGAGCCAGGTACAAGTCCTGCACCAAGCCCTGCTTGACTGCGAGGCTTCCCCTGAACGTTTTGTCTGCACAGCACAGCCCTCCCACTTCAGAAAGTCTCTCTTTCTGGAGGTGGGGAGTGAAACCACGCAGGGAATGCTTAGCTGCTCTCAAATCTGCTTTTTTAGCGTGACCCACCCGCTCACAGGATCAAGGGAGGGTGGGAAGGAGGAGCTTGAGGCTGGAGCCAGTTCATGTGAATCAAGCGAGCGATGTCCTGCATAGCCCAGGGAGCGTGAAGGATGATGTCAAGCAGAGACTGCCTCAACGAGCAATTATCTCTGTGGCTGCTCTCAAACCAAAATGAGGAGAACGTCTGTGAGATATTTCCCTCTATCGTTTTGTGCAGCAAGACCTGCAGGCTAACGGGGCTGTTGTGTCACGCTGAGAGAAGTGAAAGCAGGGCCTGGTAAGCTGCTTTGGCAGGCAGAGCTTTCTCTTTTAGCCACTTGCCCGTGGCCAGTGCACATTCTTCTTGCTTTTCTTCCTCTCCAGTGTGGTAACGTGGGCTTCTCAGTAGCACGGGCTGCTCTTCCCCTGCCACCTGTGGTGGATGGGATCAGTGTGGGGCTCCTGCCGTCCTGCTCACGAAGAGCCAACTTCACGTGCAATTTAAGCAAAGGGTAAGGCAGATAACAACCCTTCCCTGCGGCTGTCATAAAGTCTAATGTCCCGGACTCACCTACTCCAGCAGGGACACTTGTTGGCAGACTGGCTGAGCAGGGCTGTCATGACTCGTTTAAGCTTGCGAGCATCAGTTTGGTAGCAAGCAAAGTGCTACTCCTAAGGAACCAGAAAGCTAAGAGGAAGAACTGATTTCCCTGCATCTTCTGCTGCTTTCTGGAGTGCAGCCCAGAGGACGGCAGCGGGGAGCAAGCTAGGGAGGGAGTCTTTGTCGTGTGATGGCTGCAGGATAGACCTGTGCAATTTTCCTCTCCAAGGAGGAGAGCGAGAGCCTTCCTCCAAACAGCTCCCCAAACGTTGTGAGCTGAATTTGAGGTAGTTGGAGCTGTTGACAGACTGGGAAGATAGATGGAGCATAATGCTAGCCAGTTTAGCCAAAAGATGACTAAGGTGGGGGAAGGATTGTTGACTCCAAACATCTGTGAGGAGATGGAGATTGCATTAACAAAGGAGAAAATTTAGACAGGAAAGTGCTTCCTAGAAGCGAGCTGTGTCTCCCCAGGGAGGGGGTGGGGGTCCCATAGCTGGCAGGATGGGAACGGCCATAAGTAATGACAAATCTAATTCCTTGCCATGTAATGGTAACAAATAATGCAGAATGAGTCTTGATAAAGAGCTAGATGCAACCTGGTAATAACCAAATGCAGGGGCTGATGCTGGCAGCGTGTGCCTGGCAGTTCTGATGACTGCCTTGAGCCATAAAGCTTGTATTTAAGCTTTTCTTCACTCAGTGCTTTGGATCAGGGGTAAATGCAATTCCCAGGCCCCTTCTCTGAGGTTTTTTTTTTAATTTTAATTAATTAATTAATTAATTAAAAGGAGGAGGAGTGTGGTACAGCAACAATCAGTTTGTGCTTTATATGCTGGCAGTGGGATCCCAGGGACCCCTGCACAGCTTTATGTCACTCTCATGCTGTTTGGAGGGAAAAGATTTCCCAGCAGAGAAAGCAGAAAAGCAAATTTATGTTTTGGAGGAGTTGCTCTGTGATATGAGCCAGGGGCTGGAGTAGGGACTCGAGTGGACAGTCAGATCCAGGAGTATGTGAGAAGCGCTTCCTCTGGGGTGTGGCCAAGACCCTAAATGCCCTGGCCAAAGGGAGCCCTGATTGCAAAGCAGGCAGAGCTGTTGGTGAGATGAGCAGCTGGATCTGTGGGCCCAAGTGATCCCCAGACACCAAATTACAGGGCCAAGAATGAGGGCTCCCCTGTGGCTAGCTTCCTGGAAAGAGACTAGTAACAACGTCCTATTTATACACCATTCAGAAAGATGGGGTTAAGGCCAGGGCTCTTCAGTATTTTGGGGCTTTGGCTTGGTCAGTGATGAAGCCTTGTTTTAATTTGGCAACGCTGGAGCAAGGTGGCAGCATTTTGTCTTCTTTGCAAACCTGAAACCTTGGTTTCGTTTAGCGTGGGCTGCAGTGCCAGTCCTGGAGGGTTAAAATGTGAAAGGGGAACACCCTCCGCTTGTGCCCTTGACCACTTGGTCTGTTGATGATTATCTCCGAACTGGTAGTCATAAGATAAGGGGGAAAATGTGACTGTGAGGGTGCTGGGAGAGTTGAGGCAGCCCTGCACATCACCTGCCCCGCCAGTGACAGAGGAAAAGGGTGAGTCAGGGCCTGGGAGGGCAGCGGGGCAGGACGGAGGGGCAGCTGCCCTACAGGCTCCCGCTGGGAGGGCTGAAATGCTGCCCACAGGGGTCAGCCTCTGCCCCCAGCCAGCTCCGGGAGGGCTGGGGGAGAGGAGTTCCCAGCCCTGCCCTACAGGAGCCCACCTCGTGGAAATGTCAAACCAAAGGGCACTTGACCACGTAGAAGTGAGGTATGAGGAAGGCAGGCAAGGAAAGGGGCTGCTGGCTGAAGTCAGTTTGTCCTGGGGCAGGTTTGTCTGAGTACACACTTCAACAGCCAGATGAGGAAGATCATCGTCTACAGGGATCCTGAATAAGGGATTTTTTTAACCCTGGTCACCCTGCCATCACACAACAACCAGACCCCCAGCACGCTCCTGGTGTGCACTGGTTAAACTGCTGTGCACAGCCCGGGGGAGCTGAGCACGGGGGAGAAAGCATGAAGAGCTGGTGCTGGGCTGGATGGGGTGGCCAGGAGGGTTCAGCTCCCCGTGTCCTTTAAAGCTGAAAAGACAGAAGTAGTACCAAGTGCCCTTGGGTTGGTTTCCCTTGGGTGAGGGACCCACATGGCTCCATTAGACAGCTCGGTACGTGGAAATGGGTCACAGACCACAGTAACAAGTGCAAAGAAGGGTGGGTTGACATGGGACGGGGCCAGCCTGCAGTGGCAGTGTACATCCAGTGGAAAATTGGCGGTCAGCTTTCCTCCCAGGTGCTACAGATGGGCGGAAGAGCCCCAGCCAGCAGCACTCACTCCACGTGCACTGTGAAAGGAGCCACAGCCAGGTGAAAACCATTGGCAGTGTCCCCTGTCACTTCTTTGTTGCTTGTGGATGAGCTGGCTGAGAGCTGAGCAGCCGTCCCAACCCAGCGAGCCCCAGCGGTGCTGCAGCACACCTCCCTTTTGTGACAGTCCCTAAACTAAGCAAGTGTGGGTAGCTGCTCAGGAATGTCCCCCAGTGGGACACCAAACCGACCTCGCCTCCAGAAGAGGAACCACCACGTCCCCACACGTCCACCCTGATCCTACAGCACCAACCAGCCTGGCTGTGCGGGCCTCTGCCCGGGGCAGGCACAGGGGAAGGGGCGTCCCTCCAGCATCCCCCTGCTTTGGGGACCCAGTCCCAAAACATCCAAAGGACGAAGGGGAAGTCCCATGGGGCCGAGGCTGGGACCGATCCGAAGCGCAAGCTTCCCCTCGCCCCTCCCTAATGCAGACCTGCCCCGAGCACCGTGAGGGCCGAGGAGAAGTTAGGCCTGCAGCTGGGGAGACATCTGTGATCTGGCGGGGAGAGGTTCTTTCCACAGAGGCTGCTGTTTCTGCATGACCTCATCTGGGCTCGCCGAGCCTCTGCGCAGTGACTCACGGCGTGCACGGTCCTTGGGTGGCTGCGGTGGGCCGCAGGGCTTCGAGGTGGCTTTTTGCTCTTCCTAGGGGATGGCTCTCCTTGAGTTGGGTGCCATGAACTCTTTGACACTTTCCCAGTTCTGCCTGGTAAGGTCACCACAATCCGCAGCACCTTGTCATCCTAAGACCTTCTGAGCAACAAGCCATACATTATTAGCCAGGCAGGGCCCGTGCTGGTGCAGGATGAGGCCTGTATGCACAGCTCTCCCAGAGGAGCCATTGGCAGCTCTCAGGAATTACAGACCGAGGAGCCACCAGCGTGGGGCAGCCTGCCTTGTCAAGGTAAAGCCTTACAGAGCTGGGTGGAGGGGAAAAAAAAAATAATCTGGTTTAAAAATAAAGCAGAAGCTGGCCATTTATGGCAAGGCAAGCACTGGCTTCCTCATCAGCCTGCGCAGCACCCACGGAAAAGCTTTTGCCATCCGTAGAGCTGGCCCCTCAGCCTCGGGGCTCTCCTCCCTGCCCTGCACCTCATGGGACAGCTGAGCCCCGACTCTCTGCAGGTTCCCGAGCTGCAAGCGCTGGGCCATGGGTACCAGATTAGCTCTTTTTTTATTTCCTTTCATTTAGCAGGATCCTGCAGAGCTGGGCAGCTGCCAGTCAGTCTGTCAAGACGCGAACTATTTTGGGAATTTTTATGATGGAACAATATTTTTTCGGTAAACAAACGGAAAGCTGTTAAACAGGGACCTTCACCTCGCGGCTCCCGGTTCAGCTCCCTCACTGCTGCGATGCCACAGTGCCTGCACTGTCCGCGCTGCAGAGCTCCCTTCATGGCTCCAGCAGGGGCAAAACAAATAGCTTTTTTTTTTTTTTTTTTTTTTTTTCCCTTTTCATGAACTCCTCGACAAAAAAATATATATATATATATATAAAAAAAAAAAAAAGAGAGAAGAAAAAGAGTCATTTTGGCTTAAGCAGCAGAAGCGTTTGCTTGGTGGACTTAACCCCTCACACACCTGAGGGCAAGCTTTGTGCTCTCGGGGCTGTGTTACCCCGCTGTACAGCAGCCAGCCCCATCCCGGGCTGGATTTCCTCAGGGCTGCTGGAGTACAAATCCAAGCAGCAGTGACACGAAGCTGACTGTGCACAAAAGGAAGACTTCCTTTTTTACAGTGCCTGGTACTAGGAAGCCCCGATGGAGTCACGGAGTTCATGGAGGAGGAAGGTGCTTGCGCAGAGCTGAGCAGTGAGAGGAAAGGCAGAAACCTGTCCCGCTGTAAAATGGAGGTACCACGTCTCTCAGGGGACAAGCCTGCAAGGGGCTGCTCCATCCTTTGGGCTGAAAAATGATGGGCTCCACCTGGCTTCGTGATCCCTCGTGCATTTGTGGCACCGGAGAACCCAGCTTTACGTGGCGCATACTTTGGGGGAACTGGTTGATGCTGGTCGGCTGGAACAAGCCGGGACATTTGTGTGCACGAGGCCGCTCCGTGCACGCTTCGTCCATGTCACAAAGGCGTTTTGTGGTTTCCTTCGGTTCCTGGAACATCCAGTCCAGCTCGTACAGCAGCGCTGGCTCGCGCAGGCCCTACTGGCAGCCCCTTGGCTCCGGAGCACGCGGATCACTGAAGGGTCTCGAGGGATGCCGCTCCGCTTCTCTCTGCCCCTTGTTCCACTGTCAGGCTCATCGGGGAGCTGTAGGTTGCCCCACTCAATGCTCACACTGGGATCTTTTGTTCGCCCCATCCCAATTCTGCCTCGGGGTCTCTCCTGTAACTCATTAGCTGTTCTCACTCTGCTACCAGTGCCTCTCTCAGAGAAGCCTGCAGTAAAGTTCCACCTTCTCCCCGGCCAGCTCTCTTCCCTCCTCCATGGCCAGCAGCAAGCCCTGCACTTTCCTCTCTCATTTTCCCATTTCTTCAGCTTATTCTTTGTTTTTACAGTCTTGGCAGGTCAGCTCTGGAGCCTTTGCCCCTTGCCCTTCTCCGTCACACTCTGGCACATCTGGGAACTCCTCCCACGCCCATTCAGACAGCCTGCTCTCTGCCCTGTAGGAGCACAACTCAAAGCCCCTCTGGGCATGCCCGTGTTGAGAGTCCCAGGAGTGCTGGAAGGCAGGGGGCGAGCATCCCAGGAGCTGCGGCACTGGTGCTGCATGAGAGATGCACACTCGTCTTCAAGCCCCCTGGCATTTAGGGGATCCCTGTTTTACAGGTGGAGGTAGAAACCAATTTACTAAATTTTTTGGATCCCAAGTCTACGTTTTAAACAGACACCTAAGCTGTCAAAATCCATGCAGCTCATGTTTCCTGTGATTACAGCTTCTACTGTCTGTTATTGGAGCCTCACTCCTACTTCCCCTTCCTGCTGTGGCTTCCCTCTCCTCACCCGCTGACTTCCCCTGTCTTTATTGTACCCACACGTTAGTGCCACAAAGTGAATTTTGTGTGCTTCTCCAGGTCCACGAGGAGAGGATGTCCTCCATCCCCAGCAAATAGCCCTTTATCTCTTTCTCCTGAATCATTTGTGCTCCTCTGCAGGGCGTTCATTCTCTCTTGAGCACTCAGCGGGTTACCTAAATCAGTGTCACTTACGCCTATCACTCCTGTTCCTCCTGCTCAGCCTCATTCCTTCCCTAACGAAGGCTTCCCTTTATGCTGCAGTTTTTTGCCTCCAGCTGTTACCCACCTTCAAGGTCCAGCTGCACTTTGTCTTCTTGTCCTCTGGCAGTCTGGGACTTGCCACACTGGGCAGTCCTACAGCGAGTCACAACAACGCAACACATTTGACTTACCTCACGCCTCTCTGGGCCTTAGTCTTACCTTTCCAGCTCCGTTTTCTTCACAGCGGGCTCTCAGGACCAGCTCTGTGGGCCTCTGCTTGGCTTTGAGCATTTACCACATGCAGACACAACAGAATATGTGCTTTGTGTCCCTGTAGATGCCTTGTAAGTGGGAGGAGCAGGGAAAAGGTCTTGAACGGTGGCACTGGCAAACTGAGTGCTCTGCTCAGCAGCATGGGGGCCTGCCTCGTCTTCTGTCTCTCTGCCTGTGCCTCCGTGAGCGATGTTCCTTCTCTTAGCTCCCAACCTGCAGGCATCTCCTGGACCTCTGTTGTTTATGACACTGCAATTTGTTGCCTTGGAAATAAGTGCTGTTTTATCCCAAACAGAGCCTACAGATTCGCAGCGCAATCCCGCAGGAGGAGCAGATGGTTTCCCCCATCTCCTCTGTCTTATTTCCCACTGTCCTCGTCCGCAGTCGGATGACAGGAATCTGTGATTCAGCACAAGTGTCCGTGGCCCAGCTATAGCTACCAGTGTAAACTGGGGAGCCGTGCTTCTGCTGGGAGGTGACATGCCTTTGGGTCTAGCATCATCATTTTGGCTTCTTCTAAGCGGAACTCAACTGAAACCCTAAAATAAACAACTTTTCTTGCTGACTTCAGTGGTGTCCATGAGTGAAGCGCAGAAAGAATGCTTGGCACCTGCAGTTTCTGTTTCCCAGGACTTTGTAGTATCTCTTCTTCAGCTTTCAGCCCTCTGCAAGCTCATTTTGTTATTTCATATGTTGCACTTCAGACAACGTACCCGTGTACTCCCTGCAGACACTGCGTTTCCTCACCTGCAGCCCTCCTGGGCTGAAGCTCAGCTGGTTTGGTGCTGGCTATGCGAGGTAGGACTCGGGGAGCCGGGTGGGGGATATGCCTTCATGCAAATGTGTCTTCCTGGAAGCAGTTTTCAGAAGAAGTGTTGGTACTGGAGCACAGTGGGGTCATGGATCTAATAAGCACTTGGGGAAGCAGAGTTGTGGGGACTCTGTAGGGCTGAGGAGCCCAGGGCATCTGAAATGGCTGGGGGAATGAATGCATCCAAGGCTGAGATTAATTGCTTTGCAAACAGTTCTGTTTCCATTCTTTGGCTTTACTCTTTGTGATTCAGCCTGATTTGTTTGAATTCTGCTCTGAGGCTTATGTCCTACCCAGCGCTTTGCTGCCCGGGTGCTGTCTTTCATTGCCAGAGCAAGTGGGAATGAGTAAATTTAGGCTGGAGATTAGCAGAATGTTTCTTCCTTTCATAGCAGTACGATCCCTGAGAAGCTCTCTAGTGGGAACAGCGAGAGCAAAACCCAAATTGGTTTCAAGACTGAGCCTGGTTAGTTTATGACGAGGATTAAGTAAATGATGGCGTTAGACCTTGTGGCTGGGTTCAGTGATCTCACATCTCTCCCAGTCTTACCTTTCTGGGGCCAGCTAGGTTTAAAATTCATTTGGAGATGAGGAAATTGCCCTCAAGGTTCAAATGTTCTGAATTAGAAATGGAAAACCGAGCAGAGACTACTGAAAACTTTGCTTCTTGGTTATCCTTGCCTAGAAGCAGGCGAGCTGCAGAGCCAGGGCAAGCGAGGAGGCTGACCCGTGGAAAGGAGCAGAGGTCCTGTGGTTTGGGGAGGAGATGTGGCATGGCCAGGGCAAGGCAGGGCCCTGGGGAGGGCGGCTGTGAGTGATGGGGCGAGGAAGGAGGGTCGAGAGCAGCACTGGGAAGGGGGTGTCGGGGTGTGCAGGTCCACGAGATCCGGCTGGCAGGAGGGGAAGGGAGCGGGCTGCCTTTCTTGTGCGCGCTGCATCTGCCTCTTCTGCTTATCGCTGAATTTATCCCGTCTGCAGCGGGCAGCTGACTAAGGCTCCTTGTGCTGCTCCATTAATCTGTGGCTTTCCATTAACAGGCAGGTGCTTGTACCCGGGGGACCACCATGCTGACTGCCAGAGGTTCCTGGCACCGGGTGCCAGGGCGTTAAGCAGCCGGGCTGTGAGTGTGCAAACAAACAGCGAGACCTGTGCTAACAGCCCTGCTTTGTGCTAGCGGGAAGCACAGGCTCCAACTTCTTCCGATTTCTCACCTGTCCAGACTGGTACAGAGAGAAAATGCCTCTTGGAGCTGCAGCGCAAACCACACCTATTTACAGTGGATTCCCCAGGGCCCTCCTGTGGGGTATTAACCCTCCAAATGCTTCCTTCACACGGCAAATCCCCCACCGGGTTTTCCTGGGGAAACCGGCCCTCCTGCTGCCACAGAGACCTCCTCTGTTGGTGGCCCAGGGCATTGGCTTCTCCGCTGCCTAGAGCAGGTCCCCGCTTTTCTTTCCTTCCCCAGCTATCTCTGTCCTTTGGCCAGCTGTGTGCTGGGGCTCTTTCTGCGGGAGCTGGGCTCCCCGACACTGCAGGGCTGCCCCTGCTGCGCTGTGTTTTTCTCAGACCCCACCACGTTTCCCTGAGATACCAGCTCATCCCTCCCCCTCCAAATACCCTTCAGCCCTCTTCCCGGTCTCACTGTTTGCTTTCCCTCTTTTCCCTGGTTTCGGAGCTTTCTGGGAAGGAATCCCGTGCCCCGGCCTCCCCAGTGTTGTGTTGTTGTTTTTCCCTCAGTCGCTATGGGCAGGGACCTCGAGCCCGAGCCAAGGAAGGGAGGGAAGAAGGGAGGCAGAGAGAGAAGGAGGGAGCTCGGGGGGGAGGGACGGAGGAAGCCAGGAAAGCCAGAAGGCAAAGCGTGCAGGGGAGCGGGGTGAGGAAGGCATGGGGAAGGAATGCAGTGGGGAAGGAGGACAGAGGGCCTTGTGCGAAGAAGGGAGTTTGGGGGAAATACCCGGGAGAGGTTTTCCATTGGTCCTTTTATTAATAACACTACTGCAGCAAACAGCAATCTCCCGAGGAAGGCAAGGAACCCCCCATCTGCCTAGGACGCGAGGCAGGAGAGGTTATTCAAGGCAAAGAGACATCCTTCAGAAAACGAACAGCCGAGCCCAGAGCAGCCAGCGGGAGCACAGACTGCAGCAGGGAAGATGCAGGGTGGGAATTTGGTGGGTATGGAGAGAATGTGAAGCATAAAGACCCAGAAAAAAAAAATAAAAATGTATAGGACCTTATGTAAGTCTGTTGGAAGTGAGAAGCCTGGGAGAGGTCTGACAGACTGTCTGGGAACAGGGAGGAAAGTAGAGCAGCTAAGGGAAGTAAGGACACTGCAGGGAAGCTAAATCATTCCTATACCCACAAGAAAAAAACACAACCCCTGTAATAGTGCAGTTCAGGGTGCAGATGAGGTACCCTCGGGCAGTAGAACTTATAAAAGGAACTGCTGGTGTGTTGGAAATCAGCAGTCCCTGGGATCAGGCACCAGCGCCTCGGGAACAGAGTGACTGATGGGGACCAGCAGCTGTGCACAGAAATAGGGGAGGGCAGAGTGAGCCAAGGGATTGCAGACACAGGACGTGTTTCAGTGCCAGGTACATCGGTCATTTAGGGTCTGCGTGTCCCCTCGGCACACCCACCTGCCCTGCTGCACAGCAAGGGAAATCTGCAGCTCGCTTCCCTCCGCGAAGGAGAGTGGTGCTCCCGGGGCTGCCAGAAGTTATGCGGTGTTTCCTGCTGTAGGAAGTGCAGCAGAGCACGGATTTTAAAATGGGGTGTGAGCGGGGTCCTTCAAAGGAGCTTCTCGACGAGGCTAAGTGGCCACGAGGTGATCTGTGCGGGCACTGCTGGAATACTTCAAAGGAGGAGAAGCCCGAGGCCCCGAAGGCTTGGAGCAGCTCGTGCCTGGGAACCACGCAGGGACGGTTTTATAGTCGGATGGAAACCGATCCAGATGTGACTGCAGAGCCACTCAGGGAGCCTGGGATGCACCTTCATTGGGATAATTCTCTGTATGCTTCTCATCACCCGTGCTGGGAAAAATGGGGGAGATGCAGGCAGATAACGAAAGCCATTAGGAGGATGGAAACGCTTCCATGTGAGCAGGGGTTGCAAGAAACACAGCCTTCGAGTTTACAAAGAAGATAAATGGTAATAGGATATGAGCTGGATGGGACTATAACTTTTTTAGGAGAGGCTATATACTTCAAAGTCTAAGCCAATGCCTAGCTGACAAAGATAAGAAGGAAATTCCTCTCTGGAGAGGTTATTCCACAACTGTCCAACAAAGATTATTTAACTGAAGGATCCAGCCCTGCCAGAGGCAGGCTCTTAGACAACATTTGCCAGCCCTGGTATCTAATCAGCCCTGTTTTTATAAACAAGCAGCTTGGGGATCAATCAGCCTGTCAGTCCGTGTCCCTCAGGGCTCTGTCTGACCCCCGTGGGCTCAGCACCGACCGCCTCCAGCCCAGACCCGGCCACTTTCCCCAAAAAGTTCCCAGTGGTGACCTGGGGACAGCACGCCGTCCTCTCGCTCCTACTGCTTGTGTGAGTCGTCCTTCTGATCCCCGGCCCCATTCTGCAAAGTGACTGGGAGTAACTTTAAAAAATGAAATTAAAAAAAAATAATAATCAGATTAGACATTAATAGGGTTGGGTGAAGGGAAGAGCTTCAAATGAATTGTGGCTGCAATGCGCAGCCAGAGGTGGCTGAAGGGCAGCCAGAAAAGGCTGTAGGACGTCCCAGGGCCATCGTTCAGCAGATGGTTTGTGGTGCTGTCCATCAGGCCAGCAGATGAGCCCAAAGCTGAAGGCAAAGCAAGGAGCTGGGAGCACGGGAAGCAAGTTTACGAGGATCTGGGTGATTTAGGAGATGGGTGACGGATGAAAAGCACCGCTTCATGTAGCACATGTCAGATGGCCTATGCGGGAGCAAGGAGCCCGTCCGAGGAGAGGCCATGGCAAGGGCAGGTTAGTGTGTAAAAATTAACACCAGGCATGTAAAACTGTGTTCAGAGACGTGACAGGGACACACGGGAGTCCCAGTGAGGCTCTTGGTGGATCATCACCATTGATAGTGGTGTCAGGAGGGTGTGAAAGGGCTGTTGTTATTGGGGTCTGAATGTGCTTTCAGTGCTCTCGGAGGACATGTCAGGGACCATCAGGAGCCTCCTCAGTGCTCTCATCGTTGTGCTGCAGACAGAGCCGTAACAAACAGAGTTACGCTGAGAAACTTGCCAAAATGGACTGGTACCAACTCTGCCTCCTCTGCCCGGCTTCGGAGGACATGGTCCCACCCAGAGAGCCACCAGGCAGCCAGGAAGAGAGGGGCAAAAATGGGGAAGGCAAAACCCAAAGATCTCCCCAAGGGCTGAGAGCGACTCCTCTGCAATCACCCCCCTGTGCTGGTGCAGCTCTGCTGTGCTCTAGAGTTCGCTCTGTTCCTGATAACTTTTTGGCCCCCGTGTTGTGCTGCCGGGCTGTGTTTCCACATCCCTGAGCCTTCACCTTCTGCACACTTTATTTTGAACAGAAACGCGCACATCGCCCCTTCGGCGCGAGGAGAAAGCCGCCTTCCAAGCGGCGATGTGCTCGACAGCTTTTTGTACTTCGTGCAGTGGAACTTGTGCCTTTTTTTTTTTTTTTCCCCCAGCCTCTCCTGTCTCCGTTGCAGATGCTGCCATTCCCGCTTGGTTAATTTGTCTTTGTCAGCACATGTTTCCACAAGCAGTGGCAAGACTGACCAGCCCGGGTAGGACGG